ATTGAGCAAACCCTAGAATTCTTACTTTGGGATTCTTGATTAAGTATTGTTAATGGAAATGATTGTGGTGATGGAATATTCAAATGAAAGCAAGACTATATTGAGCAAAATGAAAGTTAGGTTTGTTGAATTGTTTGTGTTAATTTTCTTTAGATCGAATGATTATTATTTTTATGCTTCGGGTGAAAGTCATTTTGATGAATTAGTTATTAATAAAGGGACTAGAAAAATGAAATTACCTCTAATTGATTAAAAAAAGTATATGGGGGAGTTTATTTAAGTATCGAGAAATTTAATTTAAGTATTATATCATTAGAGATAAAATGTTTCTTGATTTGATAATAGTTAAATAGGTTATCTTGTGTCGTACTTTAGGTGGTGACGAGGAGATTGGAAAAGCTGACTGACCATTCCAGGATATTGCTTGTATTATGTGAGTGGAAAATTTTATTTTTCTGAAATAAGTATTCATTAAATTTAAAGTTACTTATTTTATAAGTTGAGTTGATGGCATGATTTTCAAAATATAGTCGATTTTATAATCAATTGTTTTTTTTAAGTTAAATTTAGTTTAGTTAAATTATTTCATTAGCATATTATAGTTATATAAATATTTCAGTATATTTAAAGTTATTTTTAAAACCACATAAAGTACCCAAGTAATTTTACCTTAGTATGCATTAGTGTGAATGTGTTTTCACAGTGTATGACCCTATATTGTTATTTTACCCTCTCTACACCACTAGTATGAACGTGTTTCTACAGTGTGCAATTAGTTATGATGATGTTATCCGCTCTACACTATTGTGAATGTGTTTCCTCAGTGTATGACCAGATTTAGCCTTTGGACAATTCTACGCACATATGACTAGAATTACAGAATTAAAGAATTTCAAAATTTAATATCTTTTTCATGTATATTGATTTTAATCAATGCATGAGAGGTTATTTTGGATACCTTTTAGGTGCGATTTTTCAGTATTATACAATTTATCAAATTTCAGATTACAGAATTATTCAGTTTAAAGAATAAAAATTTTAACTTATAGTATTGCAAAAGGATATTTTCATTATATACCAATTTTCATAAAATTGGCATAAATGGATAATATATATTTATTTGCGAAATATTCACTCACTGAGTTACAAACTCATATATTTTATCATCTATTTTCTTATTAGATTGTAGCTAAGTTGAGTAGTATTGGAGCCTGTTGATCTACCGAGTTGAGCGACACATCGTCATCAGTTGTATGACTCATTTTGTCATTTTATATACTTCATATTTTTTTTGGATACATGCATTTTGTCAGAAAATGTATCCATATCATGGTCATTGTATATTTTTATTTATGTTGTGCATTTAGAGTCATCTGGTTCGTGAAAGAGTATAAATTTCTTTTCAATGCACTTTAATTTAAATAATTGGTATTCTGAGGGGCTGGTGAGCCCTATTTTATATTATATGGACAGGTTTGAGAAAATTGATTTTTGTTCGGATGGTTTAAGTTCATATTTCAGAGAAAACTCTAACAAAAATTATTTTAAAAATTCGTTAGAGACAAACCAGCCAAGATTGCCTTGGTGGTTGGTCCAACACTTAGCTAATATCTACCATCGACGCATGATACCTGTCGAGTCAATTAGGGTGATTCGAAATGTATCGTGTCAATTGGTATCAAAGCATGGTTATAGGATCAGTTTGCATTGCATTTATTTTGATTTTGTTCTTCTCATATCATACATATTTTGTAGTTTGAGGTCATGGCTCATGGTGGTAAGACTCGCAGACTCTAAGATGTACCATCTCAGCCATAAGCTGCTCCTGATAGAGATGACATTGGAGATGTCCGTAGGGTTGAGGAATTAATTTATCATACTCATGAGCAGCGACAACATGCGAATGTAGCTGAGCCTGATCTTATAGCTGATGGGATTGCTACAACTGTTGCTTCTGCTAAACGCAATTTCAATAAAGAGTATAGCATAGAGCGAGGGACTAAATTGAGGGATAAATTGTTTGCAGGCATAGGTGATCCAGCAGAAGTCAAATCATGGATGGTAAAGATTGAAAGAGTGTTTGATATTATGGATTGTTCCGATAATCAAAAATTATGTCTGGCTACCTTCTTGGTAGAAGTATGTGCGTATGATTGGTGGAAATCGGTGCATAGTAAATATGTTCATCCTTCTATGATCACATAGGGTGATTTTAAAGATGATTTTAACGATTATTACTACCCTCGCTCATATAAGAATGACAAACAGAATGAATTTTTGAAATTTGTACAATCATTTCACAATTGAGAAATATTAGAAAAAGTTAGTAGAATTATTAAAATATGTCGTAGTCCTTATAGCTGATGAAGTTAATGATTGCAGAAGGTTTGAATAGGGTCTAAGAGAAGAAATCAGATCGGTGGTGACTGCAACAGAGTGTGAAAATTTTAGGAAAATTCTAGAAGCAGCAATGAGAGTTGAAAAAAAGTCTTTCAAGACAACATAGTGTCAACAACAAATGAGGCCTGGAGTTGGAGGTAATAGTTCGACATGGGCAGGAGTCTCTATGAATAGATCACCGAGGAGAGATTGCAGAGGAAGTGGATTAGATGTTTCCACTTCTAGTAACTTCAAATCCAGATCTCACAAAAGTCAGGGCTCTAGATCAAGCTAAAGACTAGTGCAGCAGCTAGGGAGTAGTTATACTCATACTCAAGGGTTTGTTCAAAGATTAATTACTCCAAGATCGGGGGATAGCTCTAATGTTGCCAGATTTCCTCAATGTTAGTCGTGTGGAAAATTTTATGTGGTAAATGCCTTAAGGGCATTGGTGTTTGTTATCACTATAGTCAGACTAGGCATTTGAGGATAGAGTGTTTAGTTCGTTTTCAGCAAGGTGATATATCACAAGTGACATCTTTACAGCCAGTTGTTGGTATTTCTAGATAAAATCAGAACCAGGACACGTTGGTAGGTAAAGCAGGTGCTACTAGTGCTATTCAATCTGATGTTGCTGGCAGTAGTAGTTCTAGACATATAGGCCAGCCAGGACGTCCCAAGACTTAGGGAAGAGTGCTTGTAGTGACTCAGCATGATGCCGATGAATCATCAGATCTGGTCCTGGGTACATTATTTATTTTTGGTAGAAAAAGGTCGTTCTTTAATTGATTATGGTACTACACATTCATTTTTATTATATGCATTTGCTATTTATGTGGACCATATGTCAAAATCGTTAGATAGTGATTTGGTTGTAGCTACTTCTGTTGGGGATTCACTTTTAGCTAATAGTGTATACAAGGATTGTGTGATTGGAGTGAATGATTGTAAGTTGAAAGCAAATTTGATTCCACTTGATATTCATGATTTTAATGTGATATTGGGCATAGAGCTGATTATTTTCACAAAGAGGTGGAGTTTAGAAGGCTAGAAGAGCTTGAAATTATTTTTAGTGGTAAATGGAGAACGTTACCTTCATGTATCATATACGCACTTGATGCTGGGAGTTTGCTTAAAAAAGGTTGTCCTGTATATTTTGATCATGTGATTGACACCCAAATTACTAAGTTGAAACTTAATGATATACCAGTGGTAAGAGATTTCCATGATGTTTTTCCTGAAGATCTTCCAGAGTTACCTCTAGATAGGAAAATTGAGTTTTATCATAGACTTGATTCTAGAGACTACCACTATTTCACTACTACCTTACAGAATGGCTTCAACGGAGCTAAAGGAATTGAAAGTTCAATTGCAAGATTTAGTTGGGTGTATCTTCATGGGGAGCGCCAGTTTTACTTATGAAGAAGAAAGTTGGCACAATGAGATTGTGTATCGACTACAAACAACTGAATAAAGTGACTATTTGTAACAATTATCCTTTACCTCGTATTGATGATTTGTTTAAGCAACTTCGAGGTTCTACAGCATTTTTATAATATTCATTTGCATTCAGGGTATTATCAACTCAGAATTAGGGTATTGATGTACAGAAAACTGCATTTAGATCGGGATATGACATTATGAGTTTCTGGTGATATTATTTGGGTTTACTAATGCCCTAACGACGGATTTGATGAATATGGTGCTTCATTCATATTTAGACAAATTTGTGATTATTTTTATTGATGATTATTGATTTATTCTCGCATTAGTGATGAACATGCCGGGCACTTGAGGATTATTTTGCAGACGTTGAGAGATAATCAGTTGTATATTAAGTTCAGCAAATGTTTGGCAGGATAACGTTGTATTTCTGGGTCAAGTTATCTCTGCAGAAGGTATTTATGTAGATCCTCAGAAAATTGAGGCAGTAATGAAATGGGAACGCTCTACTAAAGTTATAGAAGTATGGTTCTTGGGTTACCAAGTTATTATCGTTGGTTCGTAGAGAAAATTTCCAAAATTGCTCTTCTTCTAACTAGTTTGACCCAAAAGAATACCAAATCTGTGTGGATGGAAGAATGTGAAACGAGTTTTCAAGAGTTAAAAAAAATGTTAGTTTCTTCTCCTATACTTACTCTTCCATCTCCAAGTGAAAATTTCGTGATTTATAGTGATGTTTCACGCTAAGGATTAGGTTGTGTTTTAATGTAGAATGGGAAAGTTATAGCTTATGTTTTGAGACAATTGAAGAAGCATGAATTAAACTCTCCAGCACATGTTCGGAGTAAGCTGCAATGGTGTTAGCACTAAAGATTTGGAAGCATTACCTTTATGGTGAGAAATGTCAAATATTTACTAATCATAAAAGTCTGAAGTATATCTTTGATCGGAAAGAACTGAATTTGAAACAAAGAAGATGGTTGGAATTGATAAAGGATTATGATTGTAAGATTGACTACCATCCAGGGAAAGTTAATGTAGTTTTAGATGCGCTTAGTAGAAAGATTGGTTTTTTTCTCTCCATCTAGTGCAATATATGCTTTCTTGATTTGTGAGTTCAAGAAGTTGCATACTCAATTGTCAATTACTAATTCTCGGGCAGTATTAGCTCATTTTCCATGAGGCATTCTTTGATTGATAAGGTTAGAGAAGCTCAATCTCAAGACCTGACATTGAGAACATTGAAAGCAGAAATTAGTACTGGGTTAAGAACGGATTATGTTATTAGAGATAAAGGTGCACTGGCTATAGGTAATAGATTATATGTTCTAGATATTCCAAAATTGAAGAAAGAGATTTTGGAAGAGGCATACAGTTCTGCTTATGCTATGCATCCAGGTAGTATTAAAATATATCACGCATCGAAAGATCATCACTAGTGCCTTGGTGTGAAAAGAGAGATAGCAAATTTTGTATCCAAATGCCTTATTTGTCAACAGGTAAAGTCAGTTCGACAGAAAAGAACAGGACTTTTACAGCCACTATCGATTCTAAAATAGAAATGTGAGCACATTGCTATAGACTTTATATTTGGTCTTCCTCATACTCAGAATGGTCATGATGGTGTTTGGATTATTGTGGATCGTTTGACCAAAACGGCCAGGTCTTTGCCCATCAAAGCCACTTATACATTAAATAAGTTGGTAAAGTTGTATATGGACGAGATAGTGAGCTTATATGGTACTCCATTATCTATTGTGTTCGATAGGGACCCTCATTTTACATCTAAATTTTGGCCCAGTTTTTAGAAAGCTATGGGTACTAAACTAAATTTCAGTACAGCTTTTCATCTTCAGACGGATGATCAATAAAAAAAGATTATATAGATTCTATAAGATATGTTAAGGGCTTGTGTTTTAGAGTTCAACGGTAGCTGGGACACATTTGTCATTGAAGGAGTTTGTTTATAATAACAACGACCACTCTAGCATAGAAATAACTCCTTTTAAAGCTTTATATGGTAGAAAATGCAGAATACCAATTTGCTGGGATGAAGTTGGTAAGAGAAAGTTAGTAGGTCCTAAATTAGTTCAAATGGCTTCAGGAAATGTGGAATTGATCAAAGAAAAGTTGAAAGCAGCACAAGATAGACATAAAAGTTATGTAGATAGGTGCAGGAAAGATCTTGAATTTGCGCTTGGAGATAAAGTATTTCTAAAATTGTTGCCTTGGAAGTTTTGAGGTTTGGGAAGCGATGAAAGTTGAATCCACGATACATTGGCCCTATGAAATTATTGAGCATATTGGTCTAGTTGCGTATCGATTAGATTTGCCAATTAAATTATCCAGGATCCATGATTTTTTTTTTCTTGTCTCTATGCTTCACAAGTAAATTGTAGATCTTTCTCATGTTCTAGAGTCTCAATTGGTTTAATTAAAGGAGAATTTGACTTATGGATGGTCCGAATTTTGATAACACCAACACTGTCAACCATTATTGTTACGCATAATTGTACAAATAGCATAATTGATTCCACAATAAATGCAAATGTCAATGAGGTTTTTGTGCTAATTGCCCTTTAATAATATATATAAACACAAGAGGAACTGAGGGGGTATCTAAAGCCATTTTTATGTAAAAATGTATTTTTGAATAGTAAATTCATGAAAAATGTGGTTGAAAAATAAGGAAATTTTTTTTATTTACATGTAATATTATTTTAATAAAGAATGTGTGGTTGAAAAGAAAAAAAAATGCATTTTTTAAAAAATGAGTACCAAACGGGACCTGAATAACAAGATCACCTTCTAAAAGTACATATAGATATTCCAAAGACTTGGCCCGTGAATTTGCTTTAAAATAATAATAATAATAATAATAATAATAATAATAATAATAATAATAAAGTCTATTTCTTTTTTTCTTTCTATCTTTTTGTCACAGGTTTCCAATTAAACCACAACACAATATGAAAAAAATTCTAATTACAATCCGATCAGCTGCAGTGGAATTACTTAAGCCAAGGTTCGAACTCGATAAAATAGTAGCAATCAGTTGCTCAAATCCACAAATTATCGTTATAGATTTCTTGAATACTAGAAAAATATGAACTCTCAACATTTCTAATAAGAAATATTAACTAACTATATCTATCAAAGATTTAAAATTTTCAGTTGAGCTTCCATTGGGTGCGATAGCCTTGGTAGCACTTTCTTTGAAAACGCCAATGTTTTCTCTCATTTTATTCCCATTTTCCTTCGACAAAACAATATCCAAAGCATTCATAGTACAAGCTTTCTTAAAAACATCACTCTCCAAGCCAACGCCAATCTGCCACATGTCGGCCAAGATCCGCCGGTTTATCATTTGATCGCCGAAGAATGGCCTACAAATCATAGGAACACCACCGGTGATGCTCTCCACCACCGAATTCCACCCGCAGTGCGTTATAAACACCCCAACTGAAGAATGAGCCAAGATTTGTGATTGGGGAGCCCATGCCACAACTTTTCCTATTGAGCTTGTTCTTTCAAAGAACCCATCTAGTAGGTGGCCTTTTAAATTTTCCTTAAATGACCAAAGATAAGGAACTTTTTTCTCTTCTAATGCCTCGGCTAGTGCCGCCAGCTCATCTGGTGGCGGTGTCAACATACTACCAAAGCTAATGTAAGCTACTGAGGCCGCTTTGTGGCGGTTCAGCCATGATAGACACCCATCCTCATCTTTGCTCAGCGGCACAGAGAATGGGCCGATATTGAGAACTTTCTGCAGCTTGGACTTCAGATCAGCCGTCACAAGAGGATCAATTCCATCGAAAGAGTTGAGAACCACAGCCAAAGCACGCGGTACTATCAGTCCCATGGTTTGAAGTAAGCTTGTGAATGGTCTGTCTGGTTTGTCGAAGCTTAGGAATTCATGAGGTAAATCACTAGCATGTATTGTTGACATCACCGGAAGAAAATCAAGTGTTTGGTCTGAATTTTGTGTTCTATCTGCACATATATATTATGCCAAACAGTTGATTCAAGAGAACTAATTGCTGAAATTTCATCTACAGAAGAGATTTACCAAGTATTTTGCAATGAAAACTACTTTAGCAACTTGAAATTGGCAGGATTTTAGGAATAAAGAAGTTTCTCATGATATTACATAAAGATGCGCAGAATATATAATTAATCAACTAACGAGAAAATTCAAGTTAATCATCCTAATTTTGGGAAAACTCGAATTTGTGGCCCTAAATTATTGAGAACTGAACTCAATTTATTGTTGCATAATAAATTAAACAAAAATGCCACTTGTATAGAGATGGGTTTACAGATGTTGATATGGCAGCATCTCATTAGCTGGTTTAACTTCGTTTTTTCTCTTAAATCCAATGAATTCTTGCCACCTAGCATTCTATAAAAATAGCCTATACATGTAGTATTTCTCTAAATTAAATCTTATTGAAGATAGAACAAAATATGGAGCCGTTATTTTCATCAACCAATTTTATATATCTATCTACTTTTAAATTATGGTGGTTATATTGTTACCACAATCTTTATTTGTTACACCACTTTTTAATTGCAGTTATGCTCCTCAATCTTACTCGTTGTAACAATTATTTTATTAATTTTTTCGTCAAATTCTTGTATTCAACATTCAAATAATTAGTACATATTGTCGTTGATGATTATTTAAGTTCAAAATGTTTTGTTTCTATGCTTTGAAATGAGGGAAAAATGGTATTTTTTTTTTGTGCTTTTTATTTATTTATTTATTTTTTTAAATATGATGAAGAATAAGTTGTTATGCGCTATTTCAACTCCTTTTTTGAATTTAAATTTTTATCAAATATAAAGTATGTTAGCTAATGAAATGTTTGAGCATAAGAACGCCATGAAAAATCGTTAGAAATATAAATGTTATAATAATTAAAGATTGAGAACCTTAAGCATAATTCAAATGTGGTGTAAGATAAATAAATATTGCGGTGTGAATATAATGATGGTCAAATTGTTTTCTATATAACATTTTCAACTTTTATATATATAATATATCCACTAAATTTCCATCACTAAGAACTAATTCTACCACTAAAATCTTATGCTTTAAAAGTAAAGAAGATCTAATCCTATGATCATTCCCAAAAACCCATCACCTTCAAAAGTCAAAATTCTTTTTTTCCACCTCAAATTGCCAAGAATAAATTCACTACTGGACCTTGTAATTAGCCCAGAAAACCAACTAAAACAAATATAAATACCCCCAACAACATCAATAGTTGTAAGTGATTTTCACAGATTTTCAAATCAACTAACCAAATCAGAAAACAAGTACTTCAACTTTCAACCATATTTCACATGAGCAAGCAAGAAACCACAATGAAATAATATCAAGTTAGAGAAGTCAAATGTGAAAATTAATCATAGAATAACTGTCAAAATTAATAGTAGGGTAAACAGAAATAAACAGACGAAAAGGGCCTAAAGAAAGTTACAAGCTTTTTCATATATCAGAGCTAATTTCTACTTTAGAAGAAGGATCAAACAATATGAAGAGGCTGCTATACACTGCAAATGAGAACTGGTCATATTCCTGAATTATCTCCTATTAAATTTTAATTTAGTATAAATGAACTAAGCAAATTGGTGTAATTATATGCATTTTCATGTGTATTAAAAGTGGGGTGAAAATAGCTGTTTGCCGGAAATTTCCGATAGTTGTAAGATTCCGAGAAATGAACTAACTATTCCGGCGAAATCACTCACCAGTTAGCCTCAAATTGCGGTGGATCAGATCGGAGTACATATGCAGGGAAAGAGCCGTCGGGCCGGCGGTCCAAAACGCCACCCAAGGAATCCCCATTTCCTCAGCCATATCCGCGGAAAACCCCAAAAAAGCGTCCGTCAACAAGCAAGTGACCTTCAATCCCGTCGCTTCCACCACCTCCTCTAAACGCTTCCTAAAATTCAACGGTGTGGCTTTGATGAAAAGCTCAATGACCTCGACAGGATTGCCAGAGAACACATGCCCCTCTGGCACGCCGTCATCTATATTATAAGACCTTACATTGTCGTATCCATTCGAATTCATCTTTGAAAAAACCTTCTGGTTTGATAATGTGGTGTTGAAGTACGAAAACTGAACGGTGGGTGCGGCGGTGGCCAGCCGCTGCACTAGGTGGAGAAGGGCGGTCGGGTGGGAGCCGAATGGGAACGGAAATGCCGCCACATGAGCTTTCTTCTCCATTGGTATGTTTCTCTGTTTATTTCTTGCAAAACATCATCTCTGTTTATTGTTGGGAGAGGGAGGGCGTTAATTATTGGCCATAGAGAAAGAAACGGAAGAACATACGCGTCACGTGATGCATTGCGACAGAAATTTATATCGTTCTAAAATGGTAGAGATTAGTCAGTGCATTAGTGTATCAAATATATTCTTACGTGCTTTATTAACAGCCAAATATGATGTTAAAACTATACAATGATATTAAGGTACATTTGATTTGCTATTTGCTATTTGCTATTTTCAATTTTCAATTTGTATTTTCAAAAATAAAACTCTAAGAAACAATTTTAATGTTGTCAGTGAAAATTTTGAAAACATTTAAAAATAGAAAATAAGTTTTTAAATAAAATTTTATTTACATAAAACACTAAGAAACAAAAATTTGAAATTCTAAAATAAAATTCAAAAAAAAATTAATAATAAAAATTTCTAAAAAATAAAATAAAATTGATATACTAGAAAAAAAAATCAAATATTCTAAAAAAATAAAAATAATTCAAGCTCTTAATGATTATATCACATAAAAATTCTAAAATGAATATATAAATAAACATAATATAATTTTCAATCTACATCATTAATTATTATTATTATTATTTTTTTTTTTTTTTCTCTATGCATTGCCAACTAAATTTAGTATTTATTTAGTTTTACTTTTCACCTTTACTATAAAAGAGAAGTTCTTCCCATTATTGTTCATTTTTGGCCTCTCCATTTCACAGGTAATCGGTTTGTACTGTTCATTGTCTAGATACTCTCTTAGTATAAAATGACAAAACCATCCATTCTCTTATCAGCACCTGTTTCCTTAACCTAATTTCCTTTGTTCTCTCTCAATTCTCCTACAAAATGTCCTCAAATAATTCCCCCTATATTGATCTTTACACTTGCAATTAGAATCCTTGCCCCTTTGTTTTTCTTGTCGTTGTGTATTTTTGTTGTTTTTCTTCGACCTTCGGTGAAAATCTAAAACAAACCGAAGACATTTCTATAGGAAATTGAAGACTGTCGACCTTAAGAATGTTCTTCTCATACATTTTCCGTTAGTATTTTTTTTTTAACTCTATATTCTTGTGGGATTTATTCCCTTTTACGTTTGTTTCAATTTTTGTGAAAATTACCCAAAAATTCAGAAAACTTCATGTTTGGTTTAGGGTTATAATCAGTGGAATTGATGCCTCTATCTTTTGTCTCGGTTAGGTTAGAGTCCATTATTATTATTATTTTTTTGGGTCGTACATATTAGAATTTTTTTAGTTCGGTGTTGTTTGGTTGAGAGTTTATAGTGATGTGCTTATTTTTATGTTTGTATACATCGTGTTTTAATTTCCTTTTTTTTTGCATGAATTCTGTATGCATCAAGAATCTCTAACCTTAAATCAAGATTTCTCGTTTACTTTTAAAATTTTTCTGATTATGTTTTGTTTTGTTGAGGGTTTATTTTGTGGGCTTGTTAATGTCCAAAAATAATCACTTATCTATTAGCACAAACTCATACAAGTCTGCAAAACGTTATATACCTTCATGGCCACATTTTTTAATTATGCTATTCACGATATTTGGACAAGTATTGTCTTCATCCACAAGTACTCTTGAGACCCGTTGGAAATTGGCCAAAAATTCAATCGCAGGACTTCCAAGAAGCATTTGAGTGTGAAACTAGCATGGGCTTTACTGATTGAGAATTCATTTAAAACATAAAGTTGTATATCTGCATTCAAATAACTTACTTATCCAATATTTAAAAACACCAAGAATCATACATTTTGAAAATCCAATACACTGGAACTCATTGGAATTCCAGAAATTAAACTTTTCCTTTCTTAGGGTGCAAAGAAATTTTGTTTCTATAGGATTCATGGAGTTTTTACCGATGTCAGTGATCACTCATTTGAGTTTGGATGTAGCTCTAGCTATGCATTAACTTAATAAACCCCATGCCAACAAACTGTTATTCATGTACTTACACATACATAAATTGTAGGTAATTCTAGCTTATCTTGCTGATGTAAAAATATGAAATAGACTGAGAATTTCACCTAGGGTAGTTTTTTAGTTAATGTATTAAATTTATGTACCATTGAAGCTATCGCATTGTTATAATTAATATAGAAATAAACTTAATCGGTGTGATGTGAATTTAAGTAACCTTTGTCATGATTGTGGATTGATTTTTCCATTTCAATTATGTATATATGTTTTCATTGAAAATATATATTCCTTAATTTCTTTCAAGAACCTCAATTGGCAATCATGATGCTTACATGTTTACTATAGTTAGGTGGTCGGTAATTTGCTTTATGATCCTGCCTTCAGTCAATAAATCTCAATCTTCTGTTCTCGGACGCTCAGAAGCTAGGTAACATTTATTTTTTCTATACTTCATTTGTTTTCCCATTTGAATTTTCATCAGCACCAATTGATCCATTTTTCCATTTAAATTTTCACTACCATCAATTGATGATTTGGGAAAATGAAGTCGGAAAGCATTCTTTCGCCAACATTCATTTTTAGTATTTTTTTATCTAATCAACAGGTGTAACGGAATTTTGAATAACTTTATTTTGAAGCTTTTCGTCCAGTACGAGATTCATTAAATGTACGTTTAGTTTACCTTGTGCAGAATTTAGTTTCTGGGATATGAGTACACAGTTAATGAGCATTGACTTTTTATGTTTTTGTTTCTAGTTTGGGTCCATTCTCCGTATAATCAATGGTTATAGTTCAAATATGCTACTCATGATTCTTACATGTTTACTATGGTTAGGTGGCCATTAATCTGCTTCATCATCCTGCCAGCAATCAAGAAATCTTATTCTTCTGTTCTCTGACTCTCAGAAGCAAGGTAATATTTATTTTTTCTATATTTTATATGTTTTCCCATTTGAATTTTCACCAGCACCAATTGATCTGTTTTCCATTTGAATTTTCAATAGCACCAATTGATTATTTGTGAAAATGAGGCCGTGAAACATTCTTCTTCTGCCAATATTTGTATTTTGTAATTTTTTTATCTAATCAATAGTTGTAACGACATTTTAAAAAATTTTATTATGAAGCATTTCATCGACTGCAAGATTCACTAAATGTAACTTAGTTTACCTTGTGCACAATTCAGTTTTCTGGGAGATGAATACGCAGTTAATGAGCATTGACCTGTTATGTTTTTTTTTTTTTTTTTTTGTTTGAAGTTTGGGTCTATTCTCCGTGCACAATAGCATGTTCACATTTATAATCGAGGGTTATAGTTCAAATATGTCTTCATTCATTTCTTCCATATATTTCTTGTGTTTCCATATGGGATCTGTCCATTTTTCTAAATGGTGTAGGCCGAAACCAATTGATAATAACCAAATAACCTAGATTGGTTGTGTTTTTTTTTTTTTTTAATGATCTCTGTTGTGTTTGTCTAGATTACAACTTTCATTGTCGTTTTTACAGCAATTTTCATCAACTTTGCAACTGGTATTAGCTCAGTTTAGGCTGATTTAGTTCTAAAACTTTGGTTCTTGCTACACCTTTGCTTGTGTGTGGATTTCTTTATTATTTTCATTACTTATTGTCGACACATAAAAATTCAGCCCAAATCGAACGGTCCAAGGAGTGAAGCCCAATTGGAGGATCCCCAAATCAGATAGCCTAAAGAACGAAACTCAATCAAACAAATCAAGATGAAGGCCCAAATAAGGAGGCCCAAGAACGCGGTAACGCCATCGCCCAAGTTTGCAAGTCGCCCAGAATCTGAGCGAATGGAGTGCCATACAGTCGCCCAGAGCTGTTACTCTATTCTCGCCTAAACCTTCAAGTCGCCCAAGGTTTTAACAAACATAAAGTGTTGTGGTTATCAAGACGTGCAGTTATCAAAGCAATTATTAAAGCAGCCCTATCACGTTCCACGATTCAAGGAATTCAATCGAAAGCGGTTGAACGACGAAAAATAATGGCAGCAGTTAAAAAAGGCAGTTTTCATGACAAGTTGGCCATTACGAGGAAAGTGGGCAGTTATAGGACGATCAAGTAGTTTTTAGGTGGTTGATCACAAAGAGATCGTCCATGAAGTATAAAAGGGAGAAAAGACATAGAGCAAAGGACCGAATCAAAAACTCTCGAACAGAGAACATGTAATTTTAATTTCCTTAGCTTAGACTTAAATACTTTTCTTTCAGTAACTCGTGTGCTTGCGCCCCTTGGAGGCACATTGTTTTTAATTTCCAATTGTAAAGTCATCGCCAATAAAAGAACATCCCTTTTTGGGACTTTGTCTCAAGAGGTTTGTCTCTTACACAATCGTCTGATCCTTTTTAATTGTTAGCGACTAACCCGCGCGAAACAATTTGGCACACCCAGTGGGACAGTGGTGTTAGGTGTTGAAAGTACAAAAGGTGAAACAATATGCCTCAAAGATCTGATAACCTTCCAGTCTGTGATCGAGCAATATGAGGAGCAGCATGTCTCTCCACGAACAGATGGACAGAATCAGAGCAGTAACAGTCGTTACGAACCAATGACGGAGTTGAGTCCTCGAACCATGCGTGCATTACTTGGAGAACTCACACAAGACGTCGTTGAACAGGTAAATCTTCGAAGTATTCATAATATGGAAAGATTTACACAAAATGGGAACGTACACTATGACAACATGGCCAAACAACTAAACACTTTGAACGAAACAATGAATAAGTTAGTAGGCCAAATATGTCATCACAATTGTGGGACATAATCCCTCGATCCTAAATCCAAATCAAGGGGCAGAACCGCTTTCTGGTCCCTCTACTTCAAACCAAGGGGGTACTATAGTGCCAAATCAGAACAATGGTAGTGGTATGCCTAACTTGGGAGGTAATCCAAACATAAGAGATAATGTCCTAAACAATGGACAGAATATCCCACGTGTTAATGAGGGAATACATGTTCAGGCTAATGGTAATAGCCCTAACCATGGTAACTTTGTTGCCAATCAAGGACCAAACATCAGGCCTCAT